CCCCAAACCCCCAAAACCCCAAAACCCCAAAACCCCTCACTATTAAATTTAATTGAAAATGGAGTCATTTCATACGGATCTTGAACTTGGAGAGAGCTTTACCTTTGATTTTGATGCTGGAAGTGTAGATGAAGAGAATTCTGATATAGCTACTTATTGGAAATATTTCAAGTATTATCATACTAGAAGTGATATGGCATTCAGAATCAGCCTGAAAGGACTCACATCAGAATCTGATGGAGATATTTTCGTGTCCACTAAAGAGAAGAAGCCAACAAGAATTAAGTCTAAATGGAAAAATACAACTTTTGGAGATAAGAGTTTGGAAATTCATACTAGTCATGACAGCTATGAACAAGGTACTTACTATATAGCTGTTTGTGGGAAAAATAGTATGACAAGACAGCTTGAAATAATTTTGGAATTGATCAACTCTATCGAGAATGTTCCAATAAAAGATGGCCTAGTTCAATCTTTATTAGGCACAGGAGAGGAAGCAATGGTCCATCATTGCTTTAAAGTCAGAAAGGCAGAAAATCTTAAGTTAGAAATTCATATCTCACCTGGATTTCCAAAAGTTGTTGCGTATCTCTCTTCCGAAGCTCCTCAGCTACCTGCCAGAGAGTGAGATTGGGTAGTTGGTTTATTCCAGAACGATGAGGTGACTAAAAATATGCAAAGGAGTTCTTTCACCTGAAATCCTTTCTATATTGACTATGAGTCGAAGAAAATACAATACGACCCTACTTTGGAGTCTGTCAGCACTGAATTTGGAGATCTTTCTACAATGGATCTGGTTAGAATAAAACATCGCTCTATTTTAAAATTAAAATTATTCGATGAATATGAAGAGAAGAAGAAAAACGAAGATAGAATCCTTATTTCTGACCGGAAATACACAAATTTCCAAGTCTCTGATGAAGTCATTGAGGCTAGCATGGATAAGGTAATTGAAGAACTAAAGGAGGACTTGATCGACCTTAACCAGGATTCTGACATGACTCCTCAGCGTCCATACATCATTTGCTTGGATGCTGAAGCTTTTAAATTTTCACAAGGGATTTGTTACTTAGCCTTAGAAAATCTTTCAGGAGAGGAGATCTCCTATAAAATAAAAATATTGGAGAAGCATGAGTTCGATATATGTGATAAGCATACACAGAAGATCAATAGAGTCTACAGTAGAGTGTTCTCTCATATCGATCCATCTCAGATCTCACACCAGGAGCGAGACAGGCTGGACTTGTGTAATCTGAGTCAATATACCTACGGAGAGGTCAAGTTTAGATATTTTTACCCAATCTTAACATTTGTTAAGCCTCAAGAAGGCGAAATATTCTGGGATATCGGCTGTGGGGCATGTAAACCAATGATAATCGCAGCAATAGGATTCCCTCAGCTCAAAGCAGTCAAAGGTGTTGAGTTTGTCGATGGTCTTTATGAGCTAGGCAAGCAAAATATTGAAGAACTTCACAAAGAAGTTGATGAAATTGGAGATCTGGATTATTGTAAAAATATTGAAATTCAGCATGGAGACCTACTACAAACGGACTGGAGTGAGGCAGATATTCTTTATATCTCCTCTGTATGCTTTAATGAAGAAATGCTCAAGAAAATCAATGAGATGTCCAATGATTGCAAGGTGGGGACTAGGATGATCACTTTGAAAAAACTGCCTAAAAACCCAAACTGGAAGGACCTCCACACATTTAAGTAAGCTTTATCACTATCATTTAGAGCTAAGATGTCATGGGGGCCAACTGAAGTCTTTATCTCACATAAAATCACGTAGACTAATTTAAATCTAAAAAAATCTAAAGTTTGTTATTAGTCGATCAAACTGGTCAAAATAATTGTTCAATGAAAATTCGATAAATAGGGGTTTTGGGGTTTTGGGGTTTTGGGG